GTCGTCTGAGCTAAAACGGCGATGTCCAATTCAGAGTGATCCTAAAAAAGCGACGACCGAACAGCGTACAAAGAACGAGAGTTGAATATTGCCGGCGAAAAACGATCACCGAACGACAACGGCCGACAGCAACGCCGTGCAAGGAATGTATATTAAATATTGCCTACGAAAAACGATCACCGACCGACGACGGCCGAAAGCGGCAATGCCGTGCAAAGAACCAGGATTAAACATTGCCTACAAAAAACGATCACCGAACGACGATGGCCGACAGCAACGCCGTGCAAAAGTACCAGGATTAAACATTGCCTACAAAAAACGATCACCGAACGACAACGGCCGACAGCAACGCCGTGCAAAGAACGAGGATTAAATAATGCAAAGAATGTGGATTAAATATTGCCTACGAAAAACGATCAGCGAACGACGACAGCCGACAACAACGCCATGCAAAGAACGAGGATTAAATAATGCAAAGAATGTGGATTAAATACTGCCTACGTAAAACGATCACCGAACGACGACCGCGCGACGACGACGACGAACAGCAACGCCATGCAGAACCGACGATTACAGTGCGACTATATACGAAGTAGATGACCTGGCTTTCAAAGTTTGTGGTTTATTTCTATTTGGGGGCCCCTTAGGAGTTTTTAAGATACTTTGCACTATCCGGACTTATATATCTAGTAAATAACTTTGCAGTATTGCTGTGTTGGCATGCATTTCGGCATAACGCGCAATTAGTTCGGTCAAACGTACAACAAGCGGTTATAATATAGGCATAAAGGGTTGGGCCCCATAAATTTCGGACTATAAGAAGTATTGCTAATTTTATGAACATTACCTGTAAATATAAAGTAGAAACAAACACAAGTTTCTTCAGCAAATATCTAACTTCATGACCTTTGTAAATATAAAGTAAATACAAGCATATTTTCATAACGCGGAATTAGTTCGGTCAAACATACAACAAGCAGTTATATAATAGGCATAAAGGGTTGGGCCCCATAAATTTCGGACAATGAGAAATATTGCTAACTTTATAAACATTGTAAATACAAAGTAAATACAAGCAAACGTGTATAGGAAATATTGCTAACTTTATGAACATTGTAAATAGGAAGTAAATACAGGCACAAGTTTCTTCCGTACTATAAGAAATATTTCTAACTTCATGAACATTGTAAATATATAGTAAACACAAGCACAAGTTTTTTTCGCACTGTAAGAAATATTTCTAACTTCATGAACACTGTAAATATATAGTATATACAAGCACGTCGTTTTTTTCAAAAAAAGAGAAGTGGATGGATACAAAAGCTGTTTATGACGTAAAAGAGAAAAAAAATAAAAAACACACAGATTTCAAGTACACTTGACAATGTTTGCAAGTAAGTGATAATGCACTTTGTAAATGAACAATTGCTGTTAATAGAAATACTGTAGTTACAAAAGAAAGCATAATCTATAATTTTATAGGATATGGCTTCTTAAAACAAAAATGTAACTAGAAATAACTAGGACTTTCCATTTTAGGGTAGTTAGTTATGCACCTTTTTTCAGGGTAGTCGAAATTTAGACAAACGATCCAGACACCTGGACATATGCATAAACCTTGTTAATATAAAATAAAACAAGCGTAGTTTAAGGATGCTGAAGCTATGAAGATGGATGGCGCAAAATTCGATCGTGGCTGTTCTGTTCTCCTTTTTAAAATACTAACACCATTTCCTCTTTTATATAGAACACTAACACCATTTTCATTTTTAGCTATACTAACACCTCTGCTCTTCTTTTTAGAATGCTAACGCCATTTTCTCTTTTTTAGAATACTAACACCATTTTTTCTTATTTAGAGTACTAACACCATTTTTTTAAGCAAATACTAACAGCCCCGTTCTGTTATTTAGGGTACTAACACATTTCATACTATTTTTGTCTCTTTTCTAGGGTAGTTTATAGTTTTACTAACCTTTCTATTTTAGGTTACTAACTCCCTATGTCATACTACTATTGTCTTGTTTCAGGGGTGATGATTCCCTCAAGGTAAGGTTACTAACATCTTTTTCAGATTGACGTCTGCGATGCAAATAAGAGCCATAGGAAGACTCGGAGTAGAAGATTCTTTCAACTGATTCTATACCCGAGAGAAGAGATGCGGTTGTGAAGAGATGACCTGAGATGCGTATTCAGCTATTCAAGAAGTTGTTGGGAAGTCTTTTTTGGTGAAGGCGTTTGATATATAATATCAAGTCAAATTGCTTCGAATTTGGTGCAGGATATTCAACTGGGTTAATATGCGAACAGTTTTAAAACACGATTTCCAAAGTGAACCAATTCAGCCGGAGTGCATGGCAATGGATCCTATAAAAGCGATGACCGAGCAGCGTACAAACGACCAACAAAGACATCGTCATGCAACGAACGAGGAATAAATATTGTCTGCGAGAAGCTATCGCCCAACGACGACCGTTTCAAACTGTGGTTCCTCGAGGGGTTTCTTTTGCTGCGTGAGTCGTGGTGTTTACGAAAATTATATGTACTTTGACATGACAAAACTCGAAAGAACTCTCGAAGTTTTGGATTATAACGGGGAACCTAACTGACGGTAAAATGTAGACATTTACTTGTTTACTCTTGTTCCAATTGGTGATGACTGACAATGTCGTGCATGCACTGACAAGGTACATCTAAGGCTAGGCAAGCAAGTACATACATGTTACTGTGAAAAGTATATCTAACTCACAGTTTTTTATTGTTTCACAATTGTACTTTTGTGTTTAACTCGTCACAATCCCAGTGCTCTAAAAACGCCAAAGAAAAGCATGTGAACGGTATATTCCGGCCACCGATCTTCACTGTGAATTCCATTCTGTTTGGCTGAAATGTTTGCAGTATAAACGTTCAATTTAAGATGCGCAAAAAAACAGTCTAGGATCAGCGATAAACCTTAAACTTAAAGTTAAACCTAAACAGTAAATCTAAACCTCTAGGTTATTGTAGGCATTGCAGTCACTAAGGATGAGACATATTCACAGTGAATTAGATCTTCCGTTGAAATTTTCTGATATTTCAAAATTATTTCTTTCTGTTTGTGCCAGCACAACGAAAAGAGTACTGGGATAGGTTGAAAGTTTAACACTGAATTCATTTCGATCGAAAAAGCCCGTTTGGAGTCCGGAAAAAACGAAAAACAAGCTTTTATGTCAACTAGTTCTTTGAAACAGGGGACCGAGTGATTGAAAATACGTTTTTAAGACTTTGTTCTAGCATGTGTTAGCTAGAGCTTATGTCTTAGCATTTTACCGTCAGTATATCGGTTAAGAAAGCTTGGAACTTCAGCGTTATGCAATTGAAGATTATTTGTAGAGTGACAGTGTTCGATTATTGCCGGATTGAATTTTGATATTTTGTCAGTATATATGCATGGTAATGTATTCTTGTAATAACTAGTGAACGACAGAACAATGTTCCATTCAGGATGAAAATTACTGTAATTTATTAAACGTGTAAAATACATGCACCATGCAAGATAGACAATCTTTGTGTACCAATTTAAGCCATTTGTAAAGTATAAATAAAGCAAAGCAAAGTTTGTTCATCTACGAGTACTTTGTGGTTTATATACAATATGCACCCAGATATACGGCATTTCAGACCAATCAGGCCTTGAGGAGGACCTTTCGAGGTTTAGGCCACTATTTTTCATGTGACCTTTTGGAGAGGGACATTTCGTGTCATTGGGATCGTGTCCCAATTCACATTATCAGAATATAAAATTTAGATCATGATTGGTGATCTTCATACTACTGAGTAAGTATATCAGGTTGTCAGATATTTATTTTAACTTAGACTTCTGGGGCCGGTTGTTCGAAAGGCGTTCAGCTTAAACGGTGGATAAGCCAAAATTTAAAAATACTCTCGTACATCTTGTGAATGCCTGAACCTACATCTTTTGCATTAAATATGCACTTCCATTGAAAATTAAACTGTTTACATCGAAATATTTCAGTTAATTTGTTCAATACATAGATAATTTTGTTCCCATTTTGAACTTATCGACCGTTTAAACGCCTTTCGAACAAGTTTTAAGCCTTGTGTGCATGGTTATCACGAAATCTGTCACTGTATCACTAGAAATCAATGGCGCTAATATTGTTTCAAATCCATCTGTCATGTCTTTTCTAAATGAAGTAGCTTTGACCAGATCGTTTTCGATTAGACCCAAAGGAAAAATCGTATTAAGTTGTTGTGAGCAGATAAAACTGATTTTTTCAAACCAAATCCGTTTGATATATGTTTAATAACAGTATTTTTTGTATGAAAAAGATGATGGACAAAAAAAAAACAAATTGAAAAAAAAAACAAAAGAGATAATCGGGTTCTATGCCACTCGCTGACAGCAATGCCTCAAAGCATGCGAAGACTGGCGAACTAGCCGCGATATACATAGATTACAAGCTAACTCGGCACCTGACGAAAGGACTATCCGAAGGTTGCTATCTGAAGAACTCCTCCCATCGCCCACGATATAACAGCACACAAGGGAGAGATGCACTACGCTCCCAATGATGATGTATGTAATATGTATGTGCACCTTACAGAGTGCATGGGCTTGATCCACAAAGCCTAGCGCGTGCTAGACGCACCGGCCACGGTTGCATGCTTTGCGAGAGAAGATAAATTTAACGTAATTAAGTGTTTTCTGGTCTCAGGAGGCGGTCTCTAACAAGTGTATGCATAGAAAATACTTAAAAAAGTACACGCTTGGAAATTACAAGATCCCCGGTCTCTCTCTTCCCCCGTTCTTCAATTCTCCCCTTCCCAGTTCCACCATTCCGCTGCTCCCCGGTTTTTCCGTTCTCCGATTTCCCAGTGGTGACATACATAGCATATATATGAGCTGATGAGATAATGAGAACCCACTGTGAGAACCTGCTTTATAAATTGAAACTCGTCCTATGCCTCCAGTGTGCGCCACACTCGGTCAAATTCAAGATGGTGGACAATGTGCACTTCCAGCTTATAACGGCTAGTGAACAGTGAACTGAACTGATCCAGTAAACTAAACGTGGAACTAGGTAGCTGCAGTTCTGGTTGTGTCACATGCAAAACATTTGCTTTCTGGATAAGACTGGCTACTTTTAACGTTTTTGAATTATGCAGCAAAGTTACATAAATCGCAGCGAATCTGCGGTTGTACAATCTTCCTTTGAAAAGTACAAGTCCAGTAGACGAGTACGTTTTGGTCTGTTTTGGGCTTTGATGAATTTGTTCTTAGCTGCATTTGCCATCTCTGAAATGTAGGTTTTGATTACTTTTCTTGTTATTTCAATAGCTTTGCACAGTAATTATGACATTGTTTTAAACTTTTAATCACATTGTGATATCTCACTGATCTACTTTTTATATTTTCATTTGTTTTATGTTAGTCTATACGGCACGGTGCTTCAAAGTTTGGATGTGACCTATCAAGCAGCATTTTGGTATATTGGTAGGATACTTAATTTTTGTATGAGTCATGACGGATAGATTATTTGTAGTAAAATGATGTTTGACTCAGTTTGAGAAACAGGGAAACATGCAACATATTCATTTAAGGTGCTTTAATTTTAGGTTCTTATTTAAGTCAGGGGCCCCTTCAAGTCAAACTGGGAGCCCAGGGCAAAATGCCCCATCTTCCCCCCCTCTCGGCAGCCCTGCAAAGAGCAATAAGAGCTTAAAATCTTAAAAATGAATCCAGTTCCACCCATTAGGGCACCAAGATTGTATCAATATTAGGGTTGCTATATTAATAAATAGTTGTCACCGTATTTTGAATTTTAAAGTAGTGGTAGACAGTTACAAGGTGAAAATTATGATTGGTTTCAATTTGATTTGCTCTCATTTTCTAGAAGTTATTGTTGCCATCTGGTGCTCAGTGAGATTTCTTTGTGAGATCATCATATTTCTTTCATGGCTGATGGAAAATCCTGTCTTGCTGACACCACAACAGTACCAACTACTTGCAGTAAATCCTAGAGGTATATTTTCCTGTAGATAACTATGTTCATACACTAGCTTAAAGTGGCTGCTAATAACCTAAAAGTACCTGTGGCAGGTCAGTTATGGCAGAATGATGATGCCCAGAGGGGAGATTTTCTTGCAATGCAGTTCTATGCATTTTTGATAATCATTTTAATATGCTTCCTTTTGTGTGCTGTTTGGGGTTTTTAGTCAGACAATTGTACCCATTTTTAGTGTTCATTACTGATAATTCATATTTGCAAGATGACAGCCTATTAAATATTGAAAGGCATCTTGCCTCCTTCATTGCACCGACTGGTGACTAAGCAAAGGTGGCTTTCCAATTCCGATTCTATTCTTGGAACACACAAAAATGTAAAATCAATGTTTCTCCATCTTATAGATTCACGTTTTTCACCAGTGAGTCAAAAAATCCCTGAGGATTCTCAGAATGAACATAGTCCTTCCAGAGTGGCATACACAATGTCACAAGTGATGCCTATATCATCCCCATCAACAGTTACCAATCCCTGGAGTATAACATCGAGCCCTTTACAATCCATTTCAAGAATGGACTCTAACTTTGGTATCATGACTGGTAGTATGCCTGCAAGTCGTCATAGTCCTGGACATTATTCCAACATGTCTGTATATCAAACACCAACTGGAAACATGACGCTTAGAAACAGGGTGAGAAAAAATTGCCACAGTTAATTTGCATAAGTAAGCCCCTGTAATTCATTGCAAACTTAGTTAAAATGTGAAAACCATTATTAGCCTTATCTTACCATAATTTTCTTTTTCATGTGCTCAGGAGTTTTAACTATAACTGCCTTTGTCTTTAACTATAACTGTGTTGTGTCTTTGTTGTTCTAGTTAATAGCTGGAAACAACAGTCCTTATTCTCCAAGCAAATTTTCTCCAGTTCTCTATAATGATATCACAATAACTTCATTAGATGCAAGGTTAGTAAACTGTTAACAAGTCTGTGTGTGGTATGTATCTATGAATTGCTTCCCTATATTTTTTACCATTTTACATCCAATTCTCTGTATTTTTACAGTCATATGGAAAAGTATCCATCTCCCAGTAATTCACCATGTAAGTTCTTTGTATTGTATTTTGATTTTTAAAGTTCTTGTCAGTAGTTTTGAATTATGACAACAAAAATTGATGTACATTTTTAGTCTCTGATGATCGTATCAAGAATGTTGATGCATTGAATAGTTATTTGCAAACAGAGGAATATAAACGAGAAATGTTACATCGAGGTAGAGTTAACAGATACTTAGGCTGTGTGCACTCAACAAAAGTGCATCATTTTCGAGCGTTTTCAAAATCGTTTTGGGCTATTTTATTGCTAGACACCATGTCCACACAATCCAAGGAAAAATATCCCTTATATGTTGAATTAGCTTCAACTTCTATTGTAAATTGATGGTATTTGCCTTAGATATTGGTATTTGCAGGTCTTTCTTGGTGAAATCTCAACAAGCTTGCAATCACAATAATCGTATCAGTAATGTTAATGTGAAGTTATGTGTTTCAGATGGGTACTCAAGTGCAAATACAAGTGGTCTCATGAGTATGTCCCACAGTCCATATCAATGGTCTCCTTATAGCTCGTATGCTGAGTACAGTACACCACTCTCTGTTTATAAAATTGGAACTAGGTAAGATATGATTTAAAAAGCTCCCAGCACAGAAAATAGCCCAGGGGCCGGTTGTTCAAAAGGCGTTTAGCTTAAACGGTGGATAAGCCAAAGTTTAAAAATACTCTCGTACATCTTGTGAATGACCGAACCTGCATCTTATGCATTAAATGTACTTCCAATGACAATTAAACTATTTACATCGAAATATTTCAGCTCAGTTGTTCAATAAATAGATAATTTGGTTTTCCATTTTTAACTTATCCACCGTTTAAGCTAAACGCCTTTCAAATAACCGGCCCTAGCAGTATATTAACTGCAATTTGCCCGTGATACTATACCTATAGAACTATACCCAATAAGCTGCTGCTAAAAATATTTTTACTGATGTAAAAAGTTTCCAGGAAATCTTGACTGTTGTGTTAAAAAATATTTTGGATTTAGGAGTCCACTTACAGCAACTGCAAAAGACGAGGACGAGTTTGGTCATATGAGCCCTCAAGCAGAAGAGGTTGGTGAATTCTGTTACCTCATGTTTGACTGATATTTTTTTCCTAATCACCAGCTGATATCCCGAATCCTTTATTATGCTGTTTTATAAAACTAGATCTAAATTAGATCTAAAACTAGGTGACGTTTCCCAACATTTGCGTTGTTAGATTATTAACGGATGAATTTCTGATTTAGTTGTGGTCAAAGTTTGGGGCAACAAGGCAGGATTTAGATGTTTGGACTGAGAACCTACGAAAGGTTAGTTTATGGTCAATACCAGGTATAAATCAAGCGATTGAATGGTGCAGAAGTTCATGATGTATTATTAAAATCGTACAGCTGGTACACCTTAATTTTATGACTGATTGAAGGTAATTGGCAATGAGTCCTAATTTCAGGTTTAGCTCAATTCAGATTAAATTAAACCAGTTAAAGAGGTAGTAGGTTTATCTATTTATTGACTGGCGAGAAATGAACTACAGTCTATAAGCGGAGAGTCTAAAGTCGGTGTATCAGTTGATTGATTTGTCTTGTTTTTCATTCTCAGTGGATCAGTCAGACAGTGCTTTGCAAACTCGTGAAAGAAATTGACGAGATCAACGTTGGTTTGCAGAAGATGGGATCCTCGGAACTGAAAATTGGATGTAAGATTCAATTTTTTTGCCTGATATGTGGATTAGATTTTAGAATCTAGTTCTACAAAGATAATGTTGTATACAGTACACGCAATGTTGACGTTTTTCGTTTTGTATTTGCAAAGCCATCAGCCTTGGAAGTTTACGTCAAGTATCAAGCAATAAAGCTGAACATGTCCCAACGTTGGCTGCAGTTTTACCTTACTTGGAACTAAGTTATAACCAAGAATATCTAGTCAAGAGAATTAAAGGTATGTTTCTAAACGTTTCGGAAATTAATGGTGTATTTAATAATCCCATCTCACGCAGCATCTGTTTAAAATTGTTCTTAATGTAAGGAGCAGACTAGCTGAGGCTAGCCACTAGATCACGTCAAAGCGATGGCTCTGTTTTCGTAAAGCGGCGTGAGCCGAAAGCATCCCGACAGTTTGACGGTCTTCGAACGTTCGCCAATATCATCGGGATTACTTCCACGGCAACGTTTACGTTTTGTCGTGGTTTTATGCCGCGACTGCTTCAACTGCTTCAGATGATGTCATGGAAATCATGATTAGTTTTTTCTCCTGGTCATATACACTCGTTCTGTACTTATTAATCTCATACGTCATATGTCAACTGAGGTACAATAGCCATCATTAGGGAACGAAGGATTTCAGGGTCAGATAGTTAATTATCTTTTATCCACTATTCATACAGCTTGCCTTACATTTTTCACAGAACTTGGTCGAGACAGTTGTATGGGTGCTTACCGCTGGAAGTCTGGAAGTGACTACCGTGGTCGCTGTTGGGATCAGGATCTTCCAACTGATGCACAGATTGTCATGCACGTGTTTTGTACATATATGGATTCCAGGCTTCCTACTGACGCTCGATTTCAAGATGGAAGAACCTTTACTGGATTGTATTTTTTAAAGAATCTTGATAAACCAGGTATGTGAAATAGCTTGTTGATATTATTCTGTTACGTTTATTGAGACAACAGAAAACAAGTCTTCAAGCCTATTTGCAAAGTGGAGGCAATAGAAATACTGTTTTCCACGAAATATACGCCAAGTAATGCCACTCTGTATTTTTCACCTCGACTCACGTTCAACTGAGTTGTTTTTCTTACGATGCAACTTTAGTAAATCTCCACAAAAACTCCACAAAAACTCCACAGCTCAACATCGCCATACAATTCCACTTGGTTTACGTCATCGTGCCATACCCATCATACAACTAAAATATATGAAAGGATTGTTTATAATTAATATGGCTCTGCTCACATTATGTCAAATCTGACAAGTGTGTCAAGAGACATACGCCTGTATGTATTCTAAAAGCTCGCTCTACTCATTAAGTGGGAGATCTCAATTTTCCCATAACTTCTCCATGGCGATATTTTCCGTCAAACAATAGCTTGATTTTTTATTTTTTCCCCTTAATCTATTCATTGACTAAAATTTTCTCATTGATCAGTAACATTTGATAAAATTTCTATGTCATACTCAGAGAGTGTAAGTAAGCTTTTTGAATACAGGCGTTAGTGTTTCAACCAGAAAACTCGGCTGGATGTAGCCTTCCAACTGCTATTTTAGTCTATAATTCTACTATTGTAACAATTCGAATTCTACACAAATGTGCGATCATACGTATTAAATTTGTTTCATTGCTCCATGATGAACGTTGATATTTTGTAGAATCCAGAAAGCGGGATCTTGCAATTCATAGATTTCGTCAGAATCCGCCACACTTTAAGGTTAGTTCATCCTAGTTTATACCACTTTATTCCATGTTGACCAATAAACAATTTTTGCTGCAATCATTATCGCAATTTCAGGCACTATAGATGGTTTGTGGGGGCTCACATATTTGTGGGCTCACATACTTCATAGTGCCGCCCTGATTCTGTGGGAAATGAATTGCAAGTTCAAAGAAATTATTCAAAGAACTCCTATTAATTGAGCTTGAAAGAGCTAAGGATCTTGCCTGTGCATTCTTTTATTTTCATGTTTCCTAAGTATACCTAGTGCTTATTTTAGGTGATAACTGGCGATGAAGTGTATGATGTTGGCAAGGTAAGTTGAACCAGTTTGTGCTAATTTCAGAATTTGCTAATTCACCGCTGTATCAATATTTCTGTACAACTTTCTTACTTCCATTTTATTCTGTGTTTTAGGGCCGAAATAATTTGTTTCACAGTGTTATTCTATTTTTATACATGGTGAAGAAAAAACAGCACGGCATGTTAGGGTAAGAGAAATAAGATTGAAAAAAAAATGACTGAAAAAAATACGTCTAAATGGCACTACCTTGAACGACGCGATAGAAAACGACGACAGCTATGACACTGAGCTATATATAGTAGTTGTTGCGAAAGTGCTCGGGCGTAAAGTGTTTGCAAAAATATAGCGGACAAATTACTTGAAAATTATGAGATTTTCTAGGTATTTTCATATAGCTCAATGAGCTACGACAAAGAGAAACAACGAATCACTACGACTAACGACGAGAAACTACGACTAACGACGGCAAGGACCAACGACAACGTTACCTTCGTTTTGCTAATCAGATCTGTTGCGTATCATGTCCAGGATGCAAAAAAATGTGTTGTTGTTCATATTCTAGGCGAGTAAACCTTGGTTCGTCTGGTGTAAATATACTGGGAATATTTAACAAGAGATGACAGAGTGATATTGGAACAGTAGAGGCCATCCTGGCGATCATCGATCATTGACTTCTGCGTGTTTTCCGTCAAGAACTAAAACATAACATTCCCACGTTACCTGCAGGGAGACTATACATAGCTTGACTCTTGATTATGTATTAAGTCAGTCGCTTGTTATATCGACAATATACGAATTAAATAAGAAGAGAAAATATAACATTTTGTTTACTAAAACGAGATGCAAAAGGGGTGAACGCATTTTTAGTTTAGGGGCCACCTCCACCTTTTTTTTCCAAAACATGTAATTGTTATTAATAATAATCGTATGTGGTATCATCCCACATAGTTTTTCTTCATTTCGAGGAGTTTTTTACGGAATTTTTCAAAAAATTGACTAAAGTGCCATGCATTTTCAGCTGGTTTACACATTTTCAGAGAATGTTCCCCCTAGGCATACCCCTTACCATTTTGGTCAATTTTGACGACTTTTTCAACTGTTCAAAAACTGTCTTAAAATGCTAAAAATGGCTTTGTAAGACGAATATCTTTCATTTTAGAGCATATTTGATTGCTTTTTGGAACAGTGAAGAAGTCGTCAATTTTGACCAAAATTGTCCAAACTCCAAAAACCAACCAAATATGCTCTAAAATCTTTCATTTTAGAGCATACTCCTTTGACGACTTTTTCAACTGTTCAAAAACTCCTTAAAATGCTAAAAATGGCTTCCTAAGACTAATATCTTTCATTTTAGAGCATATTTGGTTGGTTTCTGGAACATTGAAAAAGTCGTCAATTTTGACCAAAATGGTAAGGCTTACCCCTTACCATTTTGGTCAATTTTGACGACTTTTTCAATTGTTTAAAAATGGTTTTAAAAAGCTAAAAATGGCTTCCTAAGACTAATATCTATAATTTTAGAGCATATTTGGTTGGTTTTTCGAGCATTGAAAAAGTCGTCGATTTTGACCAAAATTATAAGGATTACCCCTTACCATTTTGGTCAATTTTGACGACTTTTTCAACTGTTCAAAAAGTGTCTTAAAATGCTAAAATAGGCTTCCTAAGACTAATATCTTTCATTTTATAGCATATTTGGTTCGTTTTTGGAACATTGAAAAAGTCGTAAATTTTGACCAAAATGGTAAGGCTTACCCAACAAATACCTCGGGAAGAGAGGATATGTAAACATTGTAATTTGAATGCTATTGAAGACGAATTTCACTTTGCCTTCGAATGTCCAAATTATGACAATCTGAGAAATAATTCTAATAATATTCTCAAAAACATGTTCGAACTAGATTTACCTAAAAGTTCAAGAGAAGATTTGTTAACGCATATTATGATCAATGCAGACCCAGTGTTAACAAATCTCTTCTCAAATTTTATTATGAAGTGTTTCAAGGTCAGAGACATGTGCCAAAATAACCTCGAAAATCAAAATAATGATACAAATACAATTACTGTATAATATCAATTGCTTCATGAACTCTAAGATTTTCATAATCATACTTGTTCTGTTATCTTTGTTATTATTGTATATTAGTGTAAGTTATTATATGTCATTATAACTTTGACAATACCTGTAAATAGTTAGGTCATGTCAATAAAGTTCTTTTATATATATATATACCCCTTACCGTTTTGGTCAATTTTGACGACTTTTTCAACTTTTCAAAAATCGTCTTAAAATGCTAAAAATGGCTTCCTAAGACAAATACCTTTCATTTTAGAGCATATTTGGTTGGTTTTTGGAACATTGAAAAAGTCGTCAATTTTGACCAAAACGGTAAGCCTTACCCCTTACCATTTTGGTCAATTTTGACGACTTTTTCAATTGTTTAAAAACTGTCTTAAAATGCTAAAAATGGCTTCCTAAGTCTAATATCTTTCATTTTAGAGCATATTTGGTTGGTTTCTGGAACATTGAAAAAGTCGTCAATTTTGACCAAAATGGTAATGCTTACCCCTTACCATTTTGGTCAATTTTGACGACTTTTTCAACTGTTCAAAAACTGTCTTAAAATGCTAAAAATTGCTTCCTAAGGCTAATCTTTTTCATGTTAGAGCATATTTGGTTGGTTTTTGAACAATTGAAAAAGTCGTCAAAATCGGCCAAAATGATAAGGGGTAAGCCTTACCAATTTGGTCAAATATGACGACTTCTTCAATGTTCAAAAACTGTCTTAAAATGCTAAAAATGGCTTTCTAAGACGAATATTTTTCATTTTAGAGCATATTTGGTTGGTTTTTGGAACATTCAAAAAGTCGTCAATTTTGATCAAAATCATAAGGCTTACCCCTTACCATTTTGGTCAATTTTGACGACTTTTTCAACTGTTCAAAATCGGTCTTAAAATGCTAAAAATGGCTTTGTAAGACGAATATCTTTCATTTTAGAGCATATTTGATTGCTTTCTGGAACAGTGAAGAAGTCGTCAATTTTGACCAAAATGGTAAGGCTTACCCCTTACCATTTTGAACAATTTTGACGACTTTTTTCAACTTTTCAAAAATTGTTTTAAAATGCTAAAAATGGCTTCCTAAGACTAATATCTTTCATTTTACAGCATATTTTGTTGGTTTTTGGAATATTGAAAAGTCGTCAATTTTGACCAAAATGGTAAGGCTTACCCTTACCATTTTGGTCAATTTTGACGACTTTTTAAACTATTCAAAAACTGTCTTAAAATGCTAAAATGGCTTCCTAACTCTAATATCTTTCATTTTAGAGCATATTTGGTTCGTTTTTGGAACATTGAAAAAGTCGTAAATTTTGACCAAAATGGTAAGGCTTACTTACCCATTATCATTTTGGTCAATTTTGACGACTTTTTCAACTTTTCAAAAATTGTTTTAAAATGCTAAAAATGGCTTCCTAAGACTAATACCTTTCATTTTAGAGCATATTTAGTTGGTTTTTGGAACATTGAAAAAGTCGTAAATTTTGACCAAAATGGTAACGCTTACCCCTTACCGTTTTGGTCAATTTTGACGACTTTTTCAATTGTTCAAAATCGGTCTTAAAATGCTAAAAATTGCTTTGTAAGACGAATATCTTTCATTTTAGAGCATATTTGATTGCTTTCTGGAACAGTGAAAAAGTCGTCAATTTTCACCAAATTGGTAAGGCTTACCCCTTACCATTTTGGTCAATTTTGACGACTTTTTCAATTGTTTAAAAACTGTCTTAAAATGCTAAAAATGGCTTCCTAAGTCTAATATCTTTCATTTTAGAGCATATTTGGTTGGTTTCTGGAACATTGAAAAAGTCGTCAATTTTGACCAAAATGGTAATGCTTACCCCTTACCATTTTGGTCAATTTTGACGACTTTTTCAACTGTTCAAAAACTGTCTTAAAATGCTAAATATTGCTTCCTAAGACTAATATCTTTCATTTTAGAGCATATTTAGTTGGTTTTTGGAACATTCAAAAAGTCGTCAATTTTGATCAAAATGATAAGGCTTACCCCTTACCATTTTGGTCAATTTTGACGACTTTTTCAACTGTTCAAAATCGCTCTTAGAATGCTAAAAATGGCTTTGTAAGACGAATATCTTTCATTTTAGAGCATATTTGATTGCTTTCTGGAACAGTGAAGAAGTCGTCAATTTTCACCAAATTGGTAAGGCTTACCCCTTACCATTTTGGTCAGTTTTGACGACTTTTTCAATTGTTTAAAAACTGTCTTAAAATGCTAAAAATTGCTTCCTAAGGCTAATCTTTTTCATGTTAGAGCATATTTGGTTGGTTTTTGAACAATTGAAAAAGTCGTCAAAATCGGCCAAAATGATAAGGGGTAAGCCTTACCAATTTGGTCAAATATGACGACTTCTTCAATGTTCAAAAACTGTCTTAAAATGCTAAAAATGGCTTTCTAAGACGAATATTTTTCATTTTAGAGCATATTTGGTTGGTTTTTGGAACATTCAAAAAGTCGTCAATTTTGATCAAAATCATAAGGCTTACCCCTTACCATTTTGGTCAATTTTGACGACTTTTTCAACTGTTCAAAATCGGTCTTAAAATGCTAAAAATGGCTTTGTAAGACGAATATCTTTCATTTTAGAGCATATTTGATTGCTTTCTGGAACAGTGAAGAAGTCGTCAATTTTGACCAAAATGGTAAGGCTTACCCCTTACCATTTTGAACAATTTTGACGACTTTTTCAACTTTTCAAAAATTGTTTTAAAATGCTAAAAATGGCTTCCTAAGACTAATATCTTTCATTTTACAGCATATTTTGTTGGTTTTTGGAATATTGAAAAAGTCGTCAATTTTGACCAAAATGGTAAGGCTTACCCTTACCATTTTGGTCAATTTTGACGACTTTTTAAACTATTCAAAAACTGTCTTAAAATGCTAAAAATGGCTTCCTAACTCTAATATCTTTCATTTTAGAGCATATTTGGTTCGTTTTTGGAACATTGAAAAAGTCGTAAATTTTGACCAAAATGGTAAGGCTTACTTACCCATTATCATTTTGGTCAATTTTGACGACTTTTTCAACTTTTCAAAAATTGTTTTAAAATGCTAAAAATGGCTTCCTAAGACTAATACCTTTCATTTTAGAGCATATTTAGTTGGTTTTTGGAACATTGAAAAAGTCGTAAATTTTGACCAAAATGGTAACGCTTACCCCTTACCGTTTTGGTCAATTTTGACGACTTTTTCAATTGTTCAAAATCGGTCTTAAAATGCTAAAAATTGCTTTGTAAGACGAATATCTTTCATTTTAGAGCATATTTGATTGCTTTTGGAACAGTGAAAAAGTCGTCAATTTTCACCAAATTGGTAAGGCTTACCCCTTACCATTTTGGTCAATTTTGACGACTTTTTCAATTGTTTAAAAACTGTCTTAAAATGCTAAAAATGGCTTCCTAAGTCTAATATCTTTCATTTTAGAGCATATTTGGTTGGTTTCTGGAACATTGAAAAAGTCGTCAATTTTGACCAAAATGGTAATGCTTACCCCTTACCATTTTGGTCAATTTTGACGACTTTTTCAACTGTTCAAAAACTGTCTTAAAATGCTAAATATTGCTTCCTAAGACTAATATCTTTCATTTTAGAGCATATTTAGTTGGTTTTTGGAACATTCAAAAAGTCGTCAATTTTGATCAAAATGATAAGGCTTACCCCTTACCATTTTGGTCAATTTTGACGACTTTTTCAACTGTTCAAAATCGCTCTTAGAATGCTAAAAATGGCTTTGTAAGACGAATATCTTTCATTTTAGAGCATATTTGATTGCTTTCTGGAACAGTGAAGAAGTCGTCAATTTTCACCAAATTGGTAAGGCTTACCCC